GGTGTTCCCCACGGATCGGTCTTGGCTCCGACACTGTTTCTCTTACATATCAACGACCTCCTTTCCTGCACGATCAACCCAATCCACAGCTTCGCTGATGACAGCACTCTACATGCAGGAATTCAGAGTGACAAGCCGATCTCTGCCGCTGAGCTGGAAAGAAGAAGACTAGCGACGACTTCCTCTCTGACAAGAGACCTGGAGGCTATCACTGCTTGGGGGCGCAACAATCTTGTACAGTTCAATGCTTCCAAAACATAGTACTGTACTTTTACATACAAAAAGCGTCTTCGCGCTCATCCGGTTTCGATGGATGGCCGAGTTCTGCCAAAGAGCAATTCCTTTCGGCTGGTCGGAATCCAGATCACCGAGGACCTGATCTGGCACGAACACATCTCGTCAATAGCAGCAGCTGCTGGGAAAAAGCTAGGCTATTTGTTTAGGGCTAAGACGTACTTTTCTTCGCATGACTTCCTCACTCTATACAGGGTCCAGGTAAGACCTAGCCTCGAGATATGCTCACAGGCTTGGGATGCTACCGCCCCGACTACATTGACCATGCTCGATGTCCAGAGGAGGGCGGTCCGACTGATCGATGACTCTTCTCTAACAGACAGTCTCGGGACCCTTGCGCACCGGAGGGCAGTCGGCGATCTAGCTCTTTTCTACCGCTACACCAACGGGCTTTGCTCCTCAGAGCTCTCTTCCATGATGCCGCCGCGCGATGTGCCTGCCAGGCAGACCCGCCTGACTTTGGCATCCCGTCCTAACCGTGTCGAGTTTCGTACATCCAGAACTGGCCGATACGACCGCTCCTTTGTCCCGAGGGAGTCGAGATTGTGGAACAATCTACAAGAGGAAGCTTTTTCCAGTTCTACTAACCTTAGGCAGTTCAAAAATCGTATTAACAAAATTCATTTGCGATCATCATAGCAGCCGCGGTGTTCCGGCATTTAGGCTTCTGCCTGCGCGGCTGCTCCGATATAAAAAAATATGCGTTGCGGTTTCAGTCCCCCGAGATACGCTAAAACAATTTTGGGAATAGTACCTACTCGTATGTAAGAATTAGTTTTCCGTCTCCGAATCCACTTTTAGAAAGATTCTTGTGAAAATTTGCTTATCAAATTTCAATGCCGGAACATGAAACAATGACCATACCTATAATGACTGTACAAAACGGAACTTCGTTGTTGATTGATGGCCTTTCCGATGCTTCATTAATAAATAATGCATGTTACAGTAGTGGTAATACAAAAAGTCCATGGCTAACCGTTATGAATAACGAAATGGTAAATACAAACGTCAGATTTTCCTTTGATATAATTTGAAGGAACATTTCTCAAAGCATGTCATGTACAGTTCGATATGATGAAAGTTGACCTTTGAAAAGAAATATTATCGCTATATTGGGATGATGTTCATCTGTACAATTACACATAATCAGATAATCAGTTAGTAACTGCATCGGAAAGAATTTGGAACAATGGTAGGTGCAGAGTTGGCTACCATGAGGTCTGAGGAGCAAAGCCAGTTAACATAGCAATAGAAGAGCTAGGTCGCCGAGATTTTCAGCATTTAATTTTTTTTTCATAGTTGCATACAGTTAATTCCTCGATATTTTTACGTTTTTCTGACCAGATTTCTTTTTAAACACTCAGAATTGAGTACCTCATCGTAAAAAACATCAGTTTTTACTCAAGATGACGAGAAACTTACATACCACCATTTCTGCATCTGGCTTCGACACCTTGTGGAAAGACCCGTGTGATTACTGTACCAGTTAGTCCAAAAAGTTAAAAAAAATGGTAATATTGTTATTCGTGCCCCGCAGTTATTTTCTATTAATTGCACTACACTACCCCCTAAGCAATCATAAACCTGAAAAACGGGAAATAAAGTAAGAAAGTTGTTAAAAATGTTCAACTTCCTATAAATGTTTGGACATGTCACAAAATTGTTAGAAATTATCAAAATATACAAAAATTAGTTTGACTGATGTTCTCGTTTCTGCTCATATTCCGGTACCACGGCAACAGTTTTTAAAAATTAACTTGCATTGACTGGGATGTTTAGGCAGTCCTTGAAAAATCAAAATATATGGCATAAATTGTAAAAGGTCTCGGGCGACGTGACGTCACGAGATCTACTATTATAGCAATCTCATAAAGCCAACTTCACGAATCCAATGGAAATCATTCGGAGAGAAAGGAATTCAAGGAAGAAATGTAAACTGAATCATTTTAAATGCTGAAGAACACAATGGAATATGATTATCGAAAAAAATCCGACAAATGTGAGTCTCGCGGCGCATGAAGGCCGATGTAGAAAGACTAAGGATTGGCATTTGAGTGTCACACCCGAATAATTATATCGAATTGCAAAAGGCATGCTTCGTAGGATGTTGAGAAGATCACTTTTAAACAAAAACAACCACAGTGCGAGGTGATGTGAGGAAATGCCGCATTTTTAAGTGAGTGTGTTTGTAATAGCTATACAGGAAACTAGTTGCAGTAGCAGGAAAATGATTTTGCATTAAGAAGTTAGAATAGTATTAGAAATATCGTAATAGTGCAGTTGAATCGATATGAATAAAGATTCATCAAAATGTACAACAGAAGCGTTAATGCAGCATGTCCTTTAAGTTGAGACTTCACACAGCTTATAGTTTACGTAAGAATGATCAAGTTTTCTCAGTTATTCATACACCAAAAGAGTCCATATATAAGGATAGAGGAAAGTAAGGTTTCTCTTAACCGTTTTTATATGTACTTAAAATGGACCTATTACTGTATTACAAATTCCTATGTATGCTTTTTGAACTAAAATATCAACGTGTTGTCTCAAAGCTGCTTGTCAATTTGTACACCTAAAATTTTGGGTACGTTACAGAAATTCAATGTAACACTATTAATAACAATACTGAAATCCTCTTTAATCTTATTTTTGTCATTTTCTGAGCTAAATATTCATGACCGTAGTTATCGATTTGATGTTAGTTTACCGAGAGCGTCTTCAAGATGCTATCGAGACCTCGCGAGTGTATTCAGATCGTTGCATTGGATGCTTCCACACGTCGCTGCGTAAGTTTGCTTATATCGTGCAAACAGACAGCTCCGAATGTTGCAACTTTAGAAAGAAATCAACAAACCTATGTTTTTGCATCTAACGGTGGCAAATTTAAGCAATATTTACGCACAAAACATGTGGCAGGCCAGTACGAGTACTTGAAATTCCCTATTTAAAAAACTTCGTACTCCTTGATCAAGCGTTATTATGGTGGGAAGTTCATGTAGTCCTTGAAAATTTCGGAAACGCTACGTTTGAAGGTCATCGTCAGGAAATATTCTTCCGACACCATATAAATCCTAGAAGTTACTCAACTAAGATATTATTTTAACTTGTAATAATAATAATAAACGTATTTTTGTTTGGACGAAGTTAAGCTTAAGCTATTCCTCCAATCAACTCATACAATACACTGCAATATTCAGTTTTTTGCGCATGACACGCAGTTGTACAATAATTTTAATACTGACAATATAATAATTGCTGAGGCTCAAATGAATGAAGACTTGAGATCTATCGACAAGTATGCAAAAATTCATAATCTTAGATTAAATCCAGTAAAATCAAAAGTAATTATATTCTCTCCTAAAAAATTTAGAGATCAAATTAAGAAATATTCGACTAAGTATATCATTAAATGGTCAAATTATAAAAGTATGTGAAACTGTGAAAAATTTAGGCAAATCTCTTGATGAATGTCTGAATTTTATTCCTCATGTGAACAATATTTCAAAAAGTAGTTTTTTTAGTACTTAAGCAATTATACTTGAACAAATTCTCAATTACAAAACTAAAAAAATTATTCTGAGAGTCATTAATTATTGCAAAAATTACATGCTGCGGCATTGTTCATCATCCGTTTTTAGATTCAGTATCTGACAAGAGCTTGCAAAAAATTCAAAATTCATATTGCAGATTAATCTGGAACTGATAATATATGACCACCTTACCTCCTCGTTCATAAAATTGGAATGCTATTAAGATTCTATTTGAATTTCATTTACTATGTTATATTTATAAGCTTTTACGAGTACTTACCTCAGTTCCCCCATTTTTTGAAAGATAAGTATTAAAATTTTGAGATTCTATGCACTCATGAGATATTCACTTTAATGATACAATAACAATGCCTCCTCAGAAAACTATTTTTATTAAATGTTTTACTTATAATGCTACTATAATGTGCAATGCTTTACCCATGGATACAAATTACTTAAATTTCAAGAATTTCAAATAATATTAAAAAAATTATTTTCGAGCAAACATTGAGACACATTTTTTCGCTCACTTCTGCTTATAACATATGCATTAACATCAATCCATAAGTATGTATAATGCTATACTTTTATCCAATCTTGATTTATTTTACTCAATTAATTTATTTTTATGTTGGAACCTCTGCATTTGACGGGTTATGCAAGTGTAGAATAGCTTATGCTAAACTTCGCCCAAACATGAATAAAATAGATAAATGTTGACAGAGGAGAAGTACTCGTAAAACGAACCGTTGCTATGATTTATGCCAGTCTGACCGATGGTTGGATTTGACCTTGTCCGTGACCTTGAATGTTATGACCAAAGTCAATTGAATTTTTTTAAGTGGGACATCCTATTTTTCCGGAATGCGGCTAATTCTGACTGACTAAGCGGGAATAAGTCATTTCTAAATTGCATATTAGATGCTGTTAATATGGTTTACTTCTTCTCTGATATTACTTCACAGCTTTTGTTGTCATCTCATATCTTATCAATAGCGCCTAGTTTGGGGATTTCTGGTTACCGTAGGGCGTGTTGGAGGGGCTTCTGGGGGTTGGCCCGATTGTGACTTTTGATAGCCGCGTTCAAAACTACCTCTATGCAAAATTTCAGCTGCTTTAACCGAAATCCATTTTTCATAAGAAAACCGGTAGGTTCTTTCGGCAAAGAAGTCTTACCTGTAAGCAGCCGCACCAGCCGCGCTTTGAGCGCACGGCCGGCATGGCCTGCGGCAGCCTGAATCGCGGCAGGGCGCTGGTTACTTCTTCCCACCTAGGCAACTTCAACGAACATTTTGGAAGGCCCTGAAACAAAACAATTAAAATTAGTTTGGAATTCTCCGCTTTAGTAGCGACCTTCAAAATTACTGAAAGGTATACTATCAGATTATGGAACGTCTTTTCAGGCTTACAGAACAAACAACACAACAATTAGTCAACTTGATGCTAAAGTAATTTTCTTTAAACGGTTCGCTAGACTGCACCCAACACGCAGACAACGCTTTGGATAGAATAATTAACATTGGCCATTTTTACACAGTAGTTAGCCAAGGGCTTATACAGGGTGTTTCACAACTTATCCGATTTTAACCACATATGCACTGTAACGAAAGAAGTGATTTCTCAAAAAAATGTAATAAAAGTCTTACATAAATTAAGTTAAAAACCTGAGTTTCAATAATAAATTGAAAAATAAATATCTGTATTTTGCGTTCATCGTCTTGATGTTAGAATACGCATTAATAATTTATTGTAGCAAATGTTGTACCAAACAATTGACGAAAACGAAATACCAGGAAGTTTTTGTTTTTTCATACTGATAAGAACGTGTAAATAAGGTTTAATGTGTATCGTGGGTGATCTGAATAAAGAACGGTCGATTTTTGTGAAGTTAAATGGGAAAGTATTTTGCGAGTTTATGTTTTTAGTTATTTATTAATAAAAATGGCACATGTGTTCACTAATGAGGAGTTAGTGGACATTGTTTTAGCGTACGGAGAAGCAGGGCAAAATTTGCGAGCCGCTTCTTGTATGTATGCACACCGATTTCCGAATAGGCACATACCTCATCACGAAACATTTAGTTCAACTGTTTTACGTGCACGTGCTAGTGGAGATTTGCGCTCCAGACGTGGAGTGGATGGGGGTCGGGTTCGCCCACAACGCGTTTTAAATGCAACACCGTGGCGCATATAACATGACTACCCCCTAGGTGTAAGATTTTGTGAGTGGTTGTTGCAAGAAAATGCTCGAAATGCCCGTTTTACAACGGATATTTTACCCACCGATAATACACACGTTTGGTCCGTTGAGAATCCTCACGCAGTGGTCCAGACACACTTCCAACATCGTTTTTCTTTAAACGTCTGGGTAGGTATTATCGATGAACGTCTAATTGGACCGTTCATATTGCCACATCGAATGGATGGTCACCAGTATTTGGAATTTCTTCGAATGATTTGCCGGTCTTTCTTGAAGATGTGCCATTGGCGGTCCGAACAAGGATATGGTTTCTTGAATCAGGTATACCAGATACGCTGGATCGGAAAGGGTGGACCAATTGCATGGCCTCCACGGTCCTCCGATCTAAATCCTCTGGACTTATTTTTATGGGGATACTTGAAAAATGAGGTATACCGTACTCCAGTTCAAAATGTTGAAGAATTGCGTGACCGAATCACAGTAGCTGCCGAAAAATTGAGCCTTCAGGCACAGCAGGAAGGATAAGTATAACTTATAACATATAGCGTAAGCATTTCAGGATATTATTTTCTAGATCATTTTAAGGGGAATACTCGTATTTTGTATCGTAATATGTATGTACATCTACATCTACTATCTTAAATTGCTTCTATAGAGCTTTCATCTAATCTGTTTTAGCTTCTTGTTTTGTCCTAGCTTGATCAGAAGAAATAGGAGCTCCAAACAAATTGTTTTTAAACTAAATTACGAGGTTTTAATCCAAGTATATAGATACTTGCTTTGACTTATAAATCTAGTTATAACGTTAGGTACACGAAAACTCCAAGCGTCATCGATTTTGAAATTTCTTACCTTCCAAACCATTTTTGACGCTCTAAAGTAACTATAAAATGGGAAAACTATTATCATTTAAAAAAAATAATCTTCCAAAAAATTTAGTACGCCCTAAAATAATCAGAGTCTCAAAAAATATTGAAAATCTAAGTTTGTAAACATTGCAAAAATTTTGTTTTTTCGCACATACTCCGCCCCTACAGGTCTGTCTTGCATAACTTCCAAATATTTCCGTTCTTGTCATGGAACTAAAATTGTGCAAACATTTCAGCAATGCAATGAGTAGCGTGTACATATTGTACGTATTTAAAATTCTTCAAGATTATACTAATTCGATCCCACGCATGGGAAGTAAAATACATAGGTATCCAAAACACTTCAGTTTGAAGAAAACTAAACAAATAAAACGAAAACTCTATCAAGGGCGAGTAGTTAGGGAGCTGAAATGGTGAAATTCAACGTTATGAGTGTATATTTTTTATTACCATTTACTAAAAATCTACCATAATTCGATAGGATACATAATATTATTTTTTGGAGTTAAATAAAACCACAAAACCAAAGGCACAATGATTATATATATTCAAGCTATAGCTATTTATTTTTTCATCAATATTATTAATTGTTTATACGCTAGTGTATTCACACAGTTGTTTGCCGCACTGATGTGCGACATTATCTTCAGCTCGTTAGGATCGTTAGAATAAATTACATACTTCACAAATAACTTGCGGTTGAAACCTATGATTGAGAACCATAAATATAAATGCCATATAAGTACAAGAAAGCAAAAGTGATTTTGCATATGCCTACGTGCACCTTGACGTGAGCCTATACTATCTGTGCATGATCTAAAATTATACCGACGATAAAAAATATGCCGCCGCCGAAGTAGGCTTTGAAATTACTATAATAGTGTTTTCCATCTGATGATCAGACATCTCTCAGTCCTCAATGCCTCTTTAAGCTTTCTATATTGCTTGTTGGGCGAAACATCGTTGCAGAGGCGTTACTGCAGGGCCTGCTGTGCAAAAATGACATTCAGATACACATATATTGAGAAGGTTGACAACAAACAGCAATATTTGAAAATCTGGCGCCGTTTTGCGTCTGTGGGCGAGCAGCTTGCTATCTATACCCCATTTGTAGTCCATTTATGCCCAGAAAAAGCACAACATGTCCAAAAGCGAGATTGTACAGGTCCGTATTTCCCTCAATGGTCTTGGAATAATCTAATGAAATAAATGAGTATTTTTATAGAGTGTACACATACTTCACACAATTCTTTATTCGCTGAAAGTACTTAGTTCATTGCCCGAATGGTTAATATTAATTATTACACGTTCGATTGAAATATCGATCATATTCCAGAACCCACTGGTTTGCTGTCACTCTGTTGAGAGCTTCATAAAACAAAATTTTTCAGGATAGAAAATTTGAATGTTCTATTGCTTGAAGCCACATTGTTTTTTATATTTGTTTAAAATGGTCTTATTTTGGTTTTTAGCTATTTCGTCAATATCAAGATTATATTTATATTTGTGCTGCCTGACTAGATGGATATGTTGTTCTTTGACCATATTTTAATTGAAACTAATGTCTTTTGAAAAGAGCCATTGTTAAATTTCTGCCTTGTGGACATTGTGGGAATTTTGTCTAGTTTTCTAGTGTGGTATGCATCATTATCAAGTACAATGACTGCATTGTTGTCAAGCTTTGGGAGCGTTTCTTCAACCCATCGTTCAAATGAACTCCCGTCCATTTCTTTATGGTAGTCGGTCGTTTTCTTTGACTCAAATGCCCATAGGGCAGTGGGCACAAAGTTATCTTCACTGACAATGTGACCGATAATAGAACGTCTTTTTCCTGAAAATAATCATTTTATATAGTATTCAAGAAAACTAATAATAATACAAGCAGACTATCTAACAGGTGTTGGTTCCAAATCTACCAGATATAGCTAAGTTCAGTGTAGCTAAGTTTTCAGCGTGGGCTCATAGATTCAGTCTACTTGACACCATTTTTTACAACACAAATAACGAATTGGTTAGATGGATTCTTTAGGCCAGTGGTTAGTCTATCTAAGAAGGCTTGTCTTGGTGATTTAACTGTAGAGTCAGCCCATACTTTAGGTTATGTATATCCTGCATTTATCCAGGTTTTATCCAAGTAATAAATCTTCCTGCCCCGGTCGCGGTATTTCTTTATTGATTTTAAATAATTTCTTCTTTGCCGCGCCGCATCTTTGTTGTGCCGGGGCGTAAATGGACTACGAATAGGGTATAGTTATAAGTTTAAACTGGCGTGGCTATAGGACTGGAGCATCAGACACTATTTTTATAAAGCGTTTGACCTGCTAAACTGTCAATGATTTGTACAGAATGAAAGGATCAATTTTATTGATTTAATTAAATTCTGTTACTTTGATTACCCTAAAATTTTAGCGTAGGATTAACAGTTTTTGAGAATTTCATTTTGACCTCCTGAAGCTTTTCTAAGAAACATGTTCCGAAAAATGCGTGGTTGCCAAGGTTTTTGGATGTTCGGATATTTACTATATTTTGACTCAACATGTGGAAATTGTTGCATAGTTGTACCTTGTTTGAGAGTTATATCTTGGCATGCTAAATACTCATCTATTAACAGGAGATAGTAGATCGGATTCAAGATAATAATAAGATAATCAAATGCGGTAAAAAAACAGCCATATCAAAATAAACGACGTTTTTGTACGCCACTGTTCCTTCGACAACCTATGCATAACATTTTGAAGCGTATATCAGGGAAACAATGCTAAGTCACCGCAGTCATCTGGTATAGATTAGCTTCCGATTATGTACATTGTTCTATTACGTTGCCAGAGAAGAGAATACCTATTATTACCTTTGAGTCGAGTATCATCCTACATAAATCCGCTCTGTTGCATTCAGGTTGATATAGCGCAGTACATTCCAAAAGTATTAAGCGGATAAGTAAAGATCAGTTTTTTTAATCCTGCATCATCATACGGTAATAGTAACGAAAATATTTCACAAAATTCGAATGTTTAATATTATGAGAGTATTGGATATTAGAAACGTCGCAAGACAATACACATTTACTCTAATCTATTTAAGAGTCGCGGCCTAACGTGTCAAATTTTTTTAGTATCTACCCATCAAAACTGATATTGACAACCATGACAAAAATCCATCTTATTAATTTAATTAAATTCTATATCTTTAAGTTACTAAAAAACTGTGCCATAGGCTTAAAAGTTTCCGTGAAGT